TTCACGCGTTCTTGTCACAGGATGTTGTTCTCTCTAACATTACATTTCTGTTCCGCAAGGGTGACAGGAGGTCGTCATTAAAAGGGAACTTTCTGGTAAGGGAGACGTACGTGCTGTCCGTCCGTGTGCGTGGTTGCTTGTGATGTACTCTTAATACACTTGCCTTTTTCACACTTCTCTCGCTTCTTTGTTGTGGCGTGAGTCTTCTAAGTGTGCGTCGATGTCCTTTGCAATCGGATCATGGGAGTCGACGGGTGTTGAACCCGTGTCTTGCAACCTCTGTGGGCACAGCGTGAGGGTTAGTGACTGGTGTTGATGGTGTGTGACAGATTGCTAGCTTATGGTGGGCGTGCGGTATGCCTTGTGGGCGGAGGCGTATCGTGGGTGGTGGCTGGAATGTTGGTTGTTGGGGGAGAGGGAGGGACGTGAAGGCCATGGGGATGTTTTCATGCCTGCGGGATTTGCGGCGAAGTAAGGACGCGGCTCGGAGTGCTTTGCACGCTCCTTCCTAGAATGAAAGGGGGAAGGTGTGTAGACAGCCTAATAAAGTCAAGGGAAACGGATTATCGTTCTACATTACCACGACTCTTCCTAGATTACTGATTAAAAGTCGCATTACTCACACCTCATGACAAGCGCGGGCGAGAAAGCGAGGCACCTCACAACACCAATCCGTCTCCATTATTCCGCGATTTGCCGTTTCTCAACAAATTTCCGCCTGGTTGCGTCTAGTGTTCGTTCGTGTCGTGGCCGCGAGGAGGCGTGACAGTCGTCCGTTGTCGCGGCTTCGGGCGTGAACCGCCGGGTGACAAAGCCTGGAATAATGAGCCTGGATAACAGGCGCCGATGGTTCGCCGACTCCTCCCCCGCGCAGGGCTTTCGTTCATGTGTGCGGAGGTCTCGCTAGCGGATGTTTGGATCATTCCGATGATAGGAAACCATTCTTTGCTCTATTTCCTGCGTTATTGCTGTCCGCCGCTGCCTCGGACAGACAGCGGTCAAGCGGGGGGTCTCTCTCCGTCTCTCCTTCCTGTCTGACGGGGAGACACCTGTAACGCCACCTAGTTCTTCATTATCGTTTCTTTAAGACTCGGGTGACAACGAGGACAATAAAGCGGTTCTCACCCATTGTGTTTGGGTGTGAAGATGGCCCCGAGCGAGCGGGTTCCCTTTCCCTCCCCATTTCTCCCTCTCGTGTTTGTGTTTCTGTGGGAAGGATGCGGTACCTCGAGTCAGGGAGAAAGTTGGAAGTTTACACGGGTAGACTCGAGGGCGAATTAGCCAACCACACAGATTTATTTAAATGCATTTGGGATGTTCCTCGGTGTCTTGTTTAAATACATTAACGGTGTCAGATTCGTTCACGATAGTTTGAAATCAAGAGTCAGTTTAAATCTGTTGTAAAGGTAAAAGCAAAAGATCTTAAACTAAAACTCTTGACGGACACTTTGACCATTGTTCGTTGATGTTCGTTTAGTATGGCCGCGTTAAGAAATCTGTGGTTGAAATCGACGGAGATGAGAGTAACGGGTCTTCGACAAAAGGCCCGCGAAAATCTCAGCTACTGACACCTGCTTGCCGTCTTTGTTGTTTTGCTTAGAGTTTGTAAGGTCGAAAGTCCGTTGATGCGCTAATAAGCAGGTGAGAGATGATTCTTTTGTCACCGTGAATTGGGTTCGCACGCTGGTGTTGTTTACGCGAATTTTTTTAGTCTTCTGGGAGGGGTTCTTATATTCGAATATTAGATGTAAGTTCATCATAAAAAAAAAATGTTTATAGATAAAATACAGCAGATTCTGATTATTATGTCTAATACTTTTCCGTGCTTGTATTTGCTTGCTGTCTTGTCGACGTAGGTTTTTCTAGGGTATGGAACACTATAGACTTCCGCGATGGGAGAGAAAATTCGCTGCGTCATAATGGATCGTTGTCAACCACTCCCCTTGCCCGACGCTCGAATGGGTAGACGGCCAAAAGTAGGTGAAAAGAAATTATACCCTCCATATGGCACGATTAAGGGAAACAGCGACAAGCGAACGGAAGAAGGAGAGGGTGGGGAAAGAGAGGGTATAGAAAACAGGTAAAGAAAAAGTCAAAAGATATTTAACGGATAAGTTTGATAGTTTGTTCTGGGGATGGGCGGGGGAGGAGAGATGGAGTGGATAACGGCCTCCCTGACGACAAACAATCGAACTCTCAGAAAAATACGACGCTTGGAAACCATGTCGTTTTTGTTGACCATTTTTTTGCCTATTCCGGAGTTTCGGTTACTTTTTAGCACTTTTTTTTATCATTAATTGGGGGCGTAATTCATCAGAGAAAGGGGGAAAGTGTATCGCTATTCGTCCACCAGGAGCAGATGTTAAGATTTCCTCCTCGTCGACATTCCCGATGGGCAGATAAGGTATCCAGCCTCATCTCCGGGAGTTTACATGTAGGCTTAGCAGATTTGTGAACCTATTAGTACAGTGCCAGTTGTTGACCCATTCCCATTAACGATGTTTATCTCTTATTTTTCGTGTTTGGACCCGAAGTATCCGATTACCGAACGAGGACTGGCGAGGGCGACCGAGTCTCGCTGCGCGGCGGCCAGACCACGCGGCACCAACGGCTCGGAAATGTTTATTATTTTGAAGGAATTTTTTTGTCCTCGTTCGCCCTGACTCTTTCCCTGGTGATGGTTGGAGTTATGTTTCCTTACTCCGCGGCGGCTGTGAATGCGAGGGTTGTTGGGTGACGTAATAATTTGTATATTTACGTTGAAAGGGTTTATCACTGTTTTAATTTTGATGAATGACTTTCTTATTTTTTTTAACATGTGTTCTTCTCTGAGTTATGGTTGATGTTCTTGATCCTGATAAATGCTTCGCTTAGATAAACACCGTTTTGTACAGTTACAAATGCGAAATTCTCTCATCGTATAACCAGGCGAACTTAAGTTATCACGTGGTGCTACTACTAAAGATGTACCCGGGTATAGTCATTACCACAGTTGATGATTGTTGCCCTCTGTAATTACGCCTTTTGTGGGGGTTATTAGGCCATTATTACGGCCTGAAATTAGCATATGAATTAAATTTGCGGAACGAGGCCACGGAAATGATTGTACACGAGAGGCCTTTTCATGCGAGATTCGGTTAGTTCATGCATGGCGTTACTGGCGGTCGCAGGTGGCGGGAATATTATTTTTTCGGTTTTCTTTTTCAAATCTCCGCGTATTGTTGTTCACACCACATTGTTGCATGTGTTGGACCTACGGGACTGAAGATATGGGTGAGTAAAAACCGGGAGGGAGTTACCGGGGTGATGGGGGAGGGGTGGGGGGTGGATAGTGACTTCTTAGCGCTTGAGAAATGGCGCGGGGTCAAACCTATCTTCGTGAGATTAGCATAAAGTTATCATTCACTCGGGATACATTACTCGAAGGGGATTCGTCTTGCGGGCGCTCGTCTGGGACTGATGTTCAAGCCTTCAGAACACCCATGAATAAATTTTTCTTGTATGGGCCACAACGTCGGACCTGTAACATTTGAGGGGAATGCTCTTAGTGTTGTTGTTTGTCGTCGTGTTCATCGCTGATAATGTTGATGTCATTTTATTGTAGCTGTCATTTTTTTTATATAAGTTAGCCATGCATATAAAAAGGTGTAGGACTTGTGGATTTATCGATGACTTGGAAGCCACACAGCGACTGCATTGCTGGGGGCCAGGTACACGCGACTACGGCAACAACCAAAACAAAGTTGTAAAAGTGATGCAGGAGAGCAACCGGCACATCAAGCACTTGCGCAATGCGAGGCTGAGGCTGCAATGAGAGCAGGAGGTTGTGCGCGGAGGCTTTGCAATCTTGCTGTGAAAATTAATCATTGCATCAGCTGTGTGGCGAGATAATAAGTGTTTGGCGTGGTAATCCCTTCGATGTTTTGAGCGCGAGAGAGGCGGGGGATATAGCATTTGCACGTGAGAACATGTGTTCGAAATTTCTTAAAAAATAACCGAGGAAAAAGAAGTATTGAAAGAAACGCAACTTGTGAAGGTGAAGGAAACGATTTCTGCCATTTCACTTTATAAGATGATATTAGGAAAGACTGAATCCTCGCATATTTTTAGTAGATGTATATTTTTTTACTGATATAAATCAAGTTGTGAACTATTTTTTTTCTTTCATTATAAACATCCAACCAGCTCGTTAAATCGCACCCACGCGAGGCTGTCTGACCTCGGAGGTAAAGATAGCAAGCGTTTTAAGACTTTTATTCAGTCATTAATCCACTCGGTGCACTCCACGTACCTAAATCAGCTCGCCCCCCCATATGGCCCGCCGAAAGCCAATAAATTGTACGAAAATACGAGCCAAAACACCTGGTTCCAAGGGTGTACTGATAAGAGGGTGGGAGCGCCCGTTTGAGAACACCCACTCAACACCTGTGGGGGTTCCAAGCGCAGGTGTCTGGCGTGTCTATGTCGCAGCAGCCAGCCACCCGCCCGCGCTGCCCCGACACCAGTGGAATTTCGGAAGTATGTGGGAGGAAGGAAGGAGAGGGAAGGACGGAGGGAGGGAAGGGAAACGGAGTGGGAGTTGGAGAGGGAGTGGGTGTGGAAGCGAGAGGGAAGTGGAGTGGAAGTGGGAGAGGGAGAGGGAAGAAGGGAAATGGAGTGGGAGAGGGAGAGGGTAAACGGGAAACGGAGTGGAAGTGAGTGTGGGTATAGCAGAGAGAAGGAGAAAGAGGGAGGGAGGGAGAGGGAAAAATATCAGTGCTTGTGTGTTTCGATAAGATTTTTTGTGTGTTTGCATGCGTCAAATGTCAGGGACAGCAGTGAAGATGTACCGTGCCTTGCTTATTTTTTTAATCCCCTCTGCTTGTGTTTTGACTGCTAAAGAGGGCGGGCCTGGTTTTTTAAACGCATTTTATTGCATCGTGTGTATTTGTCTTTCGATTGTAATAGAGATTTCTATTTTTTGTAATGATTTTTAAACTAATTTTTCTTTCTCTCTGCAGCAGGGGATGCGCGACGGGCCAGGCAAACCCCCGCCGGACAAGGATGAGACTCCTGCCAAGACGTCCTCCAGACACCGCCTCGAGGAGGTCCTCGCGCAGGAGCCGCCATATCCTCAGGTAAGCACGTGTGTGTGTGTGTGTGTGTGTGTGTGTGTGTGTGTGTGTGTGTGTGTGTGTGTGTGTGTGTGTGTGTGTGTGTGTGTGTGTGTGTGTGTGTGTGTGTGTACGCGCGCGCCCGTGTCTACATCCGTGCCTGTGTGCTGTCATGGGTGTCTGCCTTCCGCTCAGCTAGTCAGTCTCCACGACTTCACCGCTGGCACGCTTCGTGTCAGGCTAAAGTACAATGTCGATTAGAGAGTAGGATGTGGTTGATGATCGACGCAAAGAGCGAAAGGTTGAGGGATCAGGAGGGGGAGGGGGGGAGGGGAGGAATAGGGGGCGGGGATGTGACCTCCTTTGAAGGATTCTGATCTTTCCTTGAGGGTCTCTCGAGGGGAAGGGAGGAGGGGGGGGGGGTAGGATGAAGAGGATTCCTTGGCATTCATCATATTCGCTCAGCAAAAAGACATCGCCTGGCAGGGTTAAAGGGCTTCTGGATCTGCCGAAGGAAATTTGCATGAGAGGGAGGAGGAGAGGAAAGATAGGAGAGGGGGAGGAAGGGACAAAGTAAGGGGGGGGGGGGAAGAGATGAAGAGAGACAGGCAGATTGAGGGAATGTTAGAGAGAGAGAGAGAGAGAGAGAGAGAGAGAGAGAGAGAGAGAGAGAGAGAGAGAGAGAGAGAGAGAGAGAGAGAGAGAGAGGACAGCAAGAGAAAAATAACAAAAAAATAGATAGAATCGAAAAAAGGAGAAAGACAGTGGGAAAATCGACTCCCACCCCACCACCCTAAACAGCCCAACCGACTCCTTACCCACACGCCCTCTTCCTCCTGCAGGTGGTGCTTCCAGCCACGGGCGGCTACTGGGACGAGAGCAGTACGGACATGGACCACCAGTACGCCAGCACGAACTCCAACAATAAGTTCGAGACGGATGAGACGGCGCGCTACTACAGAAGGTTCTTCATGGGGAATGTAAGTACGACTTTGGAGTTTTGTTTCTTGCATTATTATTATTATTTTTTTACTGTTTTATCCCTTGTTCTTGTTTGTTCTTGCTTGTTCTGGCTCTCTTTCTTTCGTTTTCTGTCTCTCTTGTTCTCTGTCTGTCATTCTCTCTCTCTCTCTCTCTCTCTCTCTCTCTCTCTCTCTCTCTCTCTCTCTCTCTCTCTCTCTCTCTCTCTCTCTCTCTCTCTCTCTCTCTCTCTCTCTCCTGTTTTTCTTTGATGAGTCATGCTGAACATGCTGATCAATCGTTTTTAATAGACACTTTTTTTCCAATATCATTACAAGGTCGTTCGTTTTAAAGGAACAGTTAATGAAGCAAGTACAAGTCCCGGCCTTGCATGTGCGCATCAAAAAAAAAAAAATTTTCTTTCTTTTTTTATTCTCACTCTCTATCTATCTCTATCTCTCTCCCTCTCTCCCTCCCTCCCTCCCTCCATTCATCCCTCCCACTCTCTCTCTCTCTCTCTCTCTCTCTCTCTCTCTCTCTCTCTCTCTCTCTCTCTCTCTCTCTCTCTCTCTCTCTCTCTCTCTCTCTCTCTTTCTCTCTCTCTCTCTCTCTCTCTCTCTCTCTCTCTCTCTCTCTCTCTCTTCTCTCTCTCTCTCTCTCTCTCTCTCTCTCTCTCTCTCTCTTTCTCTCTCACACACACACACACACACACACACACACACACACACACACACACACACCAAATATATGTGTAATATGCATAAGATTCCTTCACTTTTTTCCTCGTGTTTCCTTCTCTTTATACGAAATCATTTCCCTTCCCTCTGGTCCTCCCTCGCGTCTCGCACTCCTTGGCGACTCCGAGGTGTCTCGCGGCCTACCACAGCACCGCCGCGGAACCTTGTTATGAGGTAGTTTGCCCGTCGATCAATCTGTAGTCGGGGGTGCCTCGGGGTGGGCGGCTGATGGGCGTGATGAGTATTATTAGGGGCGTTTGCAGGTAACGCTCCCACGCCGGATCATTCGGGTCTTCTGGAACGCCGTTCTTGTTCTCCTTTCTTCGTGTTCGATTTTTTGTGTTTCTTTCCTTGTTTGATTGGTAGTTTTATTTGAATCTGTTTTTTTCATTATTATTATTTCCCTTGTTCTCTCTTCCTGTCCTTTTTTTTCGTCTTTTCGGTTCCTTTCCTTAGCTTTTGTTCTTGTAGCTCTTCCTTTTTCCTTTCTCTTCTAACACTTTTTATTTTCCTTTCTATCCACCCCACCCCCTGCCTCTTCACGTCCCGCCTCTATGTCACTGTTAACACCAGCCATTTCTCTTCACATGCTTTATCATACTCATACTCCTCCTCCTTCCGTTTCCTTCTTCAACAACCATCTTCTTCCTCTCTTCTATCTCCCCCACCCCGCTTCTCTCCCTCATTCTATCTCCCCCCACTCCTCCTCCTTCTCTCCCTCCCCCCACTCTCCCAGCTTCTGTCCCCTACTCCTCCTGCTTCTTTCCCCCACTCATCCCCCACCCACTCCCCCTACTTCTCTCCCCTACCCCCCCTCATCTCCCGTCAATACATCACCGTAAATACCAGCTTCCGGGATGCGAAGGTGAGAATCGTGTTTTGAGAGCTCGCCGAGGGGGCAGGTGAAGTACCGGCGCCAGGTAGTTAATTGGGAGCCCTTGTTAAGACCTGGTGCTTCCGGAGCCCTATGGGAGTGGGGGGGGGGAGGTGGGGGGGTTAGGGATGGGATGGGAAGGGGGGTTAAGGATCTTTAAGAAAGGGATGGGTAAGGTCGAGGAGTGTATGGGGAGGTGGAGGGGGTTATTAAGGAAGTGGAGAGGGTGATGGGGAGGGGAGGGGTGTTGTTATGGCCCGCGTTATCTCCTCCGTCTTCGTCGTTCTTCCTCTCCCGTTTTTATCGTGTTCCATCTTTGTTGTGATCGGCGGGCGAAGGAGGCTGTTTGTGCTGATGGGGATCGGGGCGTCGAGAAAGGGGAGGGGGAGGGGGGGAGGTATTGTAAGTGCGTGAGGTTTCTTTTGTATCGAATGGTTATGTCTATTTTTTTATTATTTTTTTTATCTGTGTTATATCTTCTATGCTTCCATCCCTTTCTCGTTTATTCCTCTCTTTGTTGCGTGAGCTTTAGTTGTATCGAATGTTTATTCCTATATTTTAGATTTTTATCTGTCTATTTTCTCTTTCTCCCACCCCCTCTTCTCTCTCAGTTCCTGTCCTTCTGCCTCTCCATTTCTTCTTTCTTATTTGCATGAGTTTTATTCCTATTTTGTGTATTGTGTCTTCCTCGCCCTCTTTTTCAGTCCCTGTTCTTCTCCCTCTCCATTTCTGTTTTCTTATTTGCGTGAGCTTTATTCCTATTTTTTCTGTCTATATCTTTTTTCTGTCTCCCTCCCCTTCTCTCTCAGTCCCTTATCCTCTTCCTCTCTATTTCTCCCTTTTTATTTGCATGAGTTTTATTCCTATTTCTTCTGTCTCTATCTTCGAAGCCTCCCTCCCCTTCTCTCTCCATCCATTTTCCTCTTCCTCTCTGTTCCTCCTTTTCTATTTGCATGAGTTTTATTCCTATTTCTTCTGTCTCTATCTTCTAAGTCTCCCCCCCCCTTTCTTTCTCACTCCTTGTCCCTCTCCTTCTCCATTTTCCTCTCTTTTCTCCACCCTTGTACCACATGCCTTAGGCGGTTCCCAGCATTAAGCGCTCGTCGGGCAGTAACGTACATGGAGCAGTTTTTATATCACATTTCCTCTGAAATGTTCAGGTACAATGTGAACCACTCCCCCCCCCCTCTCTCTCTCTCTTCACTTCTTTGTTTCATTTTGTTCAACTATATTTCCTTAAGATGTCCTCGTTTCTTGTTTGTTATGTTGTGTTGTTTATCCCTTATTTTTTCTCATGTTTCTTCGCGTTTCTTTTCGCTATAGTTGTAAACAAGTCAGCTTTTGCGGTCTTAATGCCTCGGGTACATCTGCCTTCTCTCTGCGGATTTCAGACGAGACTTGATACAGATTTAACTTATGGGTCTGCGTGATCTTAATGACCTGCAGCAATAAAGGGGAGGGTTTATGCAATGACCCCCGTTGCCCCGCGTGTCATTAAGCGGCGCGAAAACAAAGATGCAACTCAAAAGCCCCGGGGAGTGTGTATGAAAGAGAGAGAGAGGGAGAGAGAGAGAGAGAGAGAGAGAGAGAGAGAGAGAGAGAGAGAGAGAGAGAGAGAGAGAGAGAGAGAGAGAGATTGAGAGAGAGAGAGAGAGAGAGAGAGAGAGAGAGAGAGAGAGAGAGAGAGAGAGAGAGAGAGAGAGAGAAATAAGGAAGAGAGAACATATGACAAGGACATACTTTAGTGCGATAAAGAATACCAAACAAGCAAACGGGAGGGGAGGGGGGGAAGGGGTAGAAGAAGATGAGATTGACCGAAGTTCAAGGTCGCCAGTGAGAACGGAGGGGTCTCGGCCTCACCTTTCCCAGCGTTTTGGCCGGAAAGGGTAAGGTGGCTGCGGGCGCTGGCGGAGGCGGCGACCAGCCCGTCAGCCACCGTGGGAACTCCCGTCGCCCGGTCCTGGCTTGCTGGGCTAGCTTCTCGGTTTTATTGCTTGTGGGTTGTTGTTTTTCGGGGCGTATGTTTTCTCTCTTTTTATTATTGGTTATAGTTATTTTTTCTTATTTTTTGCTGATTTCTGTGATTTTATTTTTTGCTTTTTCGGTTGTTTCATTCCCTCATTCCCTTGCTTCTTGCAGGATTTCTCTCTTTTTTCCCCTGTTTCCTTTTTCCTCATTTCTCTCCTTTTCCCCTTACCCCGCCTACTTTCCCTCTTTCCCCTTTTTTCTCCCCTTTTCTTTCCTTTTCCCATTCCCCTTTCCCCGTTTTCTCCCCCCATTCCCTCCTTCCTTCTTTTCCTCCTTCTTTTACGCCTCCCCCTCCCCCCTTGCGGTCGTCTGGTCAGCGTGTCCTTCTCAACCGCACCTGTTTCCACTAACTCTGTCAGGTCACAGGAACACGAGTTAATGACCCCCACTGTATAGGGCTGGGGGGGGGGTGTAGTTTGGGGTTATTATTTTTTTTATTTCCTTCGATTTTTTTTCCTTACTTTTTTTGCATGTCCTTGTGGGTACAGAGGGTCAGGTTATGGACTGGACTAGACCTGGCCAAACCTGACCCCTGTGGCTGTCGATATCCTCATTACCGTTCTTGGCTCCGACACGAAAGAATCTGGATTTTTTTTGTGGTGTGCAAAGGTGTCTTGACACGATCATAAGATTGTTTTTTTATGTTGAGGATTTTTTTTTCTTTCTTTCTATTTTTCTTTCTTTCGTATCGGGTATCATGTTTATTGCTTGAGCTTTCATTGGCAGCCACGGAGGGGATCTTGCTCTTCCAGCGAAATGGTGCACACTGGGGCTGTTCAGTGTGTTTCAGTGTACCCTTAATGTTATTGCTATTGTTCGTGCAGCCCGTGAGGAGGCGGCCCCCGAGGTACCATAACCCTTTCGTGACGACCGGCACCTGTACAAAGGGTACATGTCGTACTTGTCTCCATTGTTACTAGGTAGCTTTTCTTACATAACCGAAGGGTGGTATGAGGATCTGTGAAAGCGCTGAATGGATTAGTGTTTTCTTTTCATTGCTCTGCTGAATTACCGCCTGAAGCCACTCATTTAAATTGATAGACTCCCGAGTCTTTTATCTCGACGATGAAAGTAACTGAAGGTTGCGACGGACGTGACAGCGGTGGTAATGGACGCCGTGTCATCACAGTGCCATCAGCACTATTACGTGTTATTACCAGTGTGCGGTCTATATCAACTCGCCATCTGATACTCTCTCTCTCTCTCTCTCTCTCTCTCTCTCTCTCTCTCTCTCTCTCTCTCTCTCTCTCTCTCTCTCTCTCTCTCTCTCTCTCTCTCTCTCTCTCTCTCTCTCTCTCTCTCTCTCTTTCTCTCTTTCTCTTTCTCTCTTTCTCTCTCTTCGCTCGTACTCCTCTCCCTTCTACCCTTCCCCTTCCCTATA